CGTCACCCTCTCCTGTCTCCCCAGGGCTCTGGGGGCTGGTGAACAACGCGGGGATCAGCGTCCCCACCGGCCCCAACCAGTGGCTGACCAAGGACGACTTCGCCAAGGTGCTGAACGTCAACCTGCTCGGCCTCATCGAGGTGACGCTGAGCCTGCTGACCCTGGTGCGGCGGGGGGCGGGCCCGGGGGGCCAAATGCGGCAATTTTTTTTCGGCGGGGGGTACTGCATCTCCAAGTTCGGTGTGGAGGCCTTCTCGGACAGCCTGCGGTAAGCCACGCCCAGCAGACACGGCCCCGTTTCCCCTTTCCCTTTCCCAGCCTTTGGCCGGCAGAGCCTCGGTCTGTCAGAGCCCTTCCTGGTGTAACCGCCAGCGAGGGCGGGCAGAAGTCAGTTTAGCAGCTTCTGGAGCGTGAGAGGAGGGGCTGTGGGGATGCTTCAGGTGTGAAGCCGATGTCAGGTCACTTTGAGCCACAGCTCCGGGATGTGGGGCCCATGGGAGGGATCTCCTGCCCCGGGAGACCATCCCCTGCCACTGCTCTGCTCCTCGTTCAGCTGAGCTCACGCAGGGGCAGCCCAGGAGAACGGAAGGCAAAGGACTTGGCAGAACTTTGACTTTGTTCCTCTGCCCAGTGACTTCCCAGGGGCAGGGAGGCGGTGACCATGCCGTGGCATCGCCTGCCCCAGCACTGAACCTTCCCCATCAGACCTTGCCCCTGTGCCAGATCCTGCCAGCAGCAGCTCCATCGTCCCCAGGTTTGCTTTGGCCCCGTCCCATCCACACTCAGCAAACGTTCTCTCTCACGCCGCCCTGGACACGTGTTGGGGCTGGCACGGGGTCTGCTGGGGTGGTCGAGCTCCCCGGTGAACCTCCCGCACCACAGAGCCAGGCATCCCGCGCGAGAGCCGGTGCCCGTGGGCAGCCCACGCTGGCAGATGCGCTCGGGCACCGCTCCCGTGTGCCACGGAGCTCGATGCCTTCCAGGCTTGAGATGCGCAACTTCGGGGTGAAGGTCAGTGTGATCGAGCCGGGCTACTTCAAGACAGACATGACCAACAGAAAGAACCTGGAGAATGATTTGCTTTCCATCTGGAAGAAGCTCCCAGAGGAAACCAAAGTGATTTACGGGGACAGTTATGTGAAGAAGGGTAAGTACCTCCCCTCAAGGTTAAGCGGTGCTGTTCCTCTCCTGACACAAGGCACCTTCCCGGGGCCACGGGGTTCCCAGTGCCCCGTCATCCCACCGAGCTGTTCCCCGCAAGGCTCTAAGCACCTGACCGATGCTTTCTGCCCCCAGTTTCAGTAGCGCTCAGCAAGATGGAGAAATTTTGCAACCCCAGCCTGAGGCTGGTCACGGACCGCATAGAGCACGCGCTGACCAGCTGCTCCCCCCGCACCCGCTACGCCGTGGGCTGGGACGCCAGGCTGCTCTTCATCCCGCTCAGCTACCTGCCCTCAGCGCTCACCGACATCCTCTTCAGCTGTTTATACCCCGGACCTGCCCGGAAAACCTAAGGCAGAGACGCAGCAGCTAAGAGGAGCTGCCAGTGCAGGGTGGGACCCAGCATCACCCACAGATGCGGCCGTGCTGATCAGCCCACGACGTCCTCACTCGGTGCACGTCTCGCAACCCGCTGTCCTCAGCTCCCGGGCGGGTACCCAATAAAGGCAACACCTCATCCACACCTGGCAGGCCTTGTTTTCAGCTTGGGCTGGGGCTGCAGCACCGAGCCCGTGGCCCTGCTCCTCTAACATGGGAGCTCTGGAGTCTCCAGGCCGCTTCCCAAGTGCCGGATCTGTGCAGGGCCCAGCCCGCACTGGGCTGTGAGAGCTGCCCTCACCCGAGCCAGCGCTCTGGGAGTTAACACATGGCAATAAAAACCAGCCCTGTACAAACCTGGGCAGGTTTCCCTCCGGGCACAGGGCTGGGCAGCCTCTGGATGAGTCCTCCTGCTCCTCCTGTGTGCCCTTGGGCACCCTGAGTCCCGCAGTGCCTGGGCAGTGCCCGCTGCCCTGCTCCGGCAAACCGCGCCGGGCACCCCTGTGCCTGGGGACAGCCCTTTGCTGTGTCCAGGCTCTCTGCAGCACCTTCGCTCCCTCCTCACGCAGGGCCCGTCCCCAGACGAGGGGTAAAGCCGCTGTACCCCACCCCAGTGAAGCTGGGTGGGCACAGCTGGT